TTCCATCCCCCGGCCTCCACCCGTCCAGTGACCCCTTGCTAGGAAAGCATCCCCTGGCATCGTACCGGCATCAAAGAAGAACCCATTTAAAAACCTCATCAATGCTTAAGCCCTGGCGCTCCTGTAGGAACTAATCCTCCCCTATTTTACGCAGGAGCGTCGACTTGCTTTTAAAAGTAAGACCGCCGTTATTAGTAAATACAACAGTTTTTATTTTAGCAAAGTAAAAATTACAACGACTCCTCATCGTCTCGCGCTCTCTCCTATCCTTTTCATCTTCTGACCACAGCATCCTCTCTCCGGTGTCTCTGTACCCTCCCGACCTACTCTCGTGGGTCCTCCCTCGAAACGCGTCTAATTGCCAATCTACCGGATTGGCCAAAGAGAGAAGGAGGTGTTTCAAAATAGCGGCCAAAACCGAATTCAATTATTGCGAGAAAATCAGGGAAGGAAGATCCTCAGAAAATTGAAAGGCCAAAATCATTTCCGAACCCGTTTTCTCGAGCTGCCCGATTCAATTTATCCTTTTCTTCTTCTTTTTCTCGAGCCGGTATTTTCAATTAAAAGTACAGATCCACTCGAGACCTCGCCACGTGATCGAGCACCCACTCCGTGCTGGACCAGGTGCAACTAGGTTGACCCTGGATAAGAGGAGCAGGGTGCACAGGGACCTCATACCTGTGATACGGTTTAAACTGTTAATAATGTCAAGGGTGTTTGACCACTGACCAATCTCGAGTGTTGGGCTAACATTCATAATGAAATTAATCTGCGCCCGGGAATCGTGCGCGACGCAGAGCACGTTTAAAAAGCCTTTGGCTTTCGCTCCTGGACCCTTTTTCCGCACATCCGTTTACTCGCTCCTGGCAAAAGGACCTCCCATCCGCTAAATGGACCCGAGCTCAGAGTCTCGCAACCGTCGACAGGACGACAGGGATGCTGCGCCGTAGTCCTGGAAATGAAAGGAACGACATCGATCCTAACCGAGGATTTGAGAGTCGTCTTCGGGGAGGCTCGAAATAATTGTGAAAATTAAGGGATTTTTTAAAAAGAAAAATCTTTCATGACTCTCCGAGCATTAGTACTCGCTACTTACCATGACAATGGCTGAATAGCCCACTCGGAAGAGAAGGCTCCCTTGATTCCAACGGGAACCACCAGCGACTAAGGATTAGAACTCTTTTATGATTCGCAGATCTTGATGAATCGTTCAGCGTGGGATGGGGGGGG